ACTCTGTCACTTTTTTAACAGAGAGTGACAAAATGTCATTTTTTTGTTTAAAAAGTTTGCAAGTGTTAATACTTTTTTCTAAGAATGATTTTGAGTTCCATATGAAACAATTTGATGAAATCAATACAGGGATTCGATCACATTTGGTATGTTCTATAACAACCTATGTCACTTTTTTTTTAAAAAGTGACACTCTGTCACTTTTTTAACAGAGAGTGACAAAAAGCGTAATTAATACGATTTTGTGATGATTAATTAGTTAATTAGGGTATTTTTCTAATTAGCCATGTTTTGACCGTATGGGGCCTAATTTCCCCTTCTTTTTTTTTATTTTTTGCACACAAGTTCTTTAGCAATTTGCATTCAATGTCCTTCGACTTTAAACTTGTACAACTTGGTCTTCAAATTTTGACCTTCCTTTCATTTAAGCCTCCATAAATTGCATCCAATGTCCTTTAACTTTCTGAACTCGTTCATTTTGGTCTTCAAATTCACAATTTTGTACAAATTTGATCATTTTCTCCTCTTTTTTGTTTTGTTCTATTTCTTTGGATGATTTTTACATATAAAAACAATAATCATATAATTGTGAGAAGAAATTCACTCAATTTGATCAATAATAAGCATATTTAGGTATTAAATGTGCAAAAATGCACTTATCATTCAGCGTTCGATAAATTTATGAAATTTTGAAATTGAAACAAATGAAAGATGAGAGAGTTTGTATCCGTGTTAAAAATAAATAGATAAGAAAAGTTATCTGATTTTGAAAATTTAAGTGATAACTGTTTAGTTTTTACTTATTAACTTAAATGATAGTATTTTTTAAATAAAATAATATTTTATAATTGTACAAAGATATTTTTTATCTTTTAACATTCGAAAAGCAATTGAAAAAATATGCTAAAATTGAAAATTCGAAGTGGCCAAACCATTTTTAAAAAGAAACCCTCTTTTCTCATTGTTTCGTCCGTCATACTTCTTGGCCTCTACCCATTCTTTGAATGATTTCCACTCGCACTGAGTAGTGATTCATTATTTTACCAAAATTTTGTAACATCATGAAAATAAATCTTTATACCGTTCTGTTATTCCTCCTTTTCATTAATTCTGTTTTTTCTTGGAAAAAAGATGAGTTCAGAAACTGCAATCAGACCCCATTCTGCAAACGTGCTCGATCCCGGAAACCCGGTGCCTGCTCTCTTATCGCCACCGATATATCGATTTCCGATGGAGATCTCATAGCGAAACTCATCCCCAAAGATAAAGTTGAAGAAAATCTGGATAATCAAGAAAATCTTGACAATCAAGAAAATGGCACTGTTAAGCCTTTGGTTCTCGCAATATCTGCGTATCAAGATGGCATCTTGAGGCTCAAGATTGATGAGGACCAGAGTTTAAGCCCGCGCAAGAAGAGATTTGAGGTTCCCGATGTGATCGTGCCAGAGTTTTTGAACAAAAAGCTGTGGTTACAGAATTTAAAAACCGAGAATAGTGAAGATGGGTTGTATATCTTGTCCGTTATTTATCTTTCTGATGGATATGATGGTGTGATTCGGCATGACCCATTTGAGGTTTTTGTGAGGGAGAGTGGGAAAAATGGGAAAAAAGTGTTGTCTTTGAACTCAAATGGTTTGTTTGATTTTGAACAGCTGAGGGAGAAAAAAGGAGAAAATGAGGATTGGGAGGAGAGGTTTAGGAGCCACACTGACACGCGGCCGTATGGACCTCAGAGTATTAGCTTTGACGTAGCATTCTTTGATGCGGATTTTGTTTATGGCATTCCGGAACATGCCACTAGTTTAGCCTTAAAGCCAACTAGAGGGCCTGGGGTGGAGGATTCTGAGCCATATCGGCTTTTTAACCTTGATGTGTTTGAATATATTGCTGACTCGCCTTTTGGACTTTATGGTTCCGTACCTTTCATGATTTCCCATGGGAAGTCGCGTGGGAGCTCCGGGTTTTTCTGGTTGAATGCTGCTGAAATGCAGATTGATGTTCTGGGGGCTGGTTGGAATGATGAGTTTTCTTCTGTTTTAATGTTGCCTTCAGATCAAAAGAGAGTCGATACATTGTGGATGAGCGAGGCTGGTGTTGTGGATGCATTCTTTTTTGTTGGTCCGGGGCCAAAAGATGTGGTTAGGCAGTATAGTAGTGTGACTGGAACGCCAGCGATGCCACAGTTGTTTGCTATTGCTTACCATCAGTGTAGGTGGAATTACAGGGATGAAGAGGATGTTTATAATGTAGATACCAAATTTGATGAGCATGACATCCCATATGATGTTTTATGGCTTGATATCGAGCATACGGATGGGAAAAGGTATTTTACGTGGGATAGGCTGCTGTTCCCTAATCCTGAAGAGATGCAGAAGAAGTTGGCTGCAAAGGGTAGGCATATGGTCACTATTGTGGACCCTCACATTAAGAGGGATGAATCTTACTATATACATAAGGAGGCGTCCCAAAAGGGGTATTATGTAAGGGATGCAACTGGGAAGGATTTTGACGGGTGGTGCTGGCCTGGTTCGTCATCATACTTGGACGTGTTGAATCCAGAGATTAGGTCTTGGTGGGCTGAAAAATTCTCTTATGAGAATTATGTTGGTTCAACTCCATCCTTGTACATCTGGAATGACATGAATGAACCTTCCGTCTTCAATGGTCCAGAGGTATGCCATTTCATTTTGATCCTAAATTGCTTTTTGATCCTTGATACTACTTGTTTCAGTATGCTAGGACATGTTTATGTTGGTTGCTTTATTTGTTAAAAAAAAAAAAATCATTTATATTTTGTCTGTCACATATAAGACAGTTTATTTGGTATGCTGATTGAATGATGGTGTCTTGTGAGTACCTCTTGGTTAAGGCTCAGGACTTGAAACAGATTGTTTAAATGAAAAGCAATATAAGTCCTCTGCCGCCTGATTGTCACCATGTACAGCTAAATAATATCAATCATTATGCAATATTTCTGTTGCGAAAGAAATGAATCAGATATTGGAAATAAGCACTTCCTTTGTTCTCTATTTTTTTTTTTGGGGGGGCAAAATCCGTGTGTGCCTTGGTTGGGGATTTGGCATCAACCCCTACCTTGTTGATAGAGAGCATGCTGACATTAAAAACTGTAAGAAGAGGGTGGGAATCTTAAATCTTTTTAGTTCAGTTCCTTAAGATCTATTCTGCAGAAATATATTTTCCTGGTTGGGTTATTGCTATGGCAGATGTAGGGTGTCCAGCATGGGCAGGGAAGCTGGCTGGCTACTCGAAGTTCTGAAATTTTGAATTTTTTCCTTTCAAAATTAAAATTTCAAATGATCTTCAAATAGAAGTACTGTTCACCTCCCAAAATTGTGTGAAAATCCCAAGTTCCCTTGAAAATAAATCTTTGGTTTTGCATATCGTGGATAGCCACCGGTTAAGATTCATTTGTTGTAATCAGGTCTCAATGCCCAGAGATGCTTTACATCATGATGATGTTGAGCACAGAGAGTTGCATAATGCCTATGGTTACTACTTTCACATGGCTACTTCAGATGGGCTGGTTAAACGAGGAGATGGAAAGGACAGGCCATTTGTTTTGTCAAGAGCCTTTTTCCCTGGAAGTCAAAGATATGGAGCAATCTGGACAGGGGATAACTCGGCTGAATGGGATCACCTAAGAGTTTCCATTCCGATGGTTTTGACACTTGGTCTTACTGGGATATCATTCTCTGGTCTGTAAAATTTCCTCTGCTTGCATTTTCCTCTACCTATACAAATCTTTTCAATTCTGATAATACTAGATCCACAGGTGCGGATGTTGGTGGGTTTTTCGGTAATCCTGATACTGAGTTGTTGGTCCGCTGGTATCAAGTGGGTGCCTACTATCCATTCTTTAGGGGACATGCTCATCATGACACTAAAAGACGGGAACCTTGGTTATTCGGGTATGAGATTTGGCCTTGCCTAAAAAATAGGTGCTATTTGAGGCATATACTATTAGCTTACACGTTGTGCATTTGAATGCATTTACATATTGTTTGCTGTCAAATTTTATTCATCAAGAACGATGTCTCACTCTTACATCAGATCTAGTAATTTTTTTCCCCACCCTGTTACATTAAAAAAAATCTGCTTTTTCCCATAATTCTTCAGTTTGCATTAATATTTATAGATTTTCAACCTCATGTACATATTTGTCTGTTTCATAGTTTAGACCCATCTCGTTGTAGTGTTTGTCAAATAGCCAAGTCATTATTTTAAGCTTCTCTGTGAAAGTTGTCTACCGTTACATCAGATCTAGTTTTTTATACCCATATCATTCCATGTAAGAATCTGCATTTTCCATGGTTCTTTAGTTGATCTTATATTGATGGATTTTTGAATGCATACTTGTCTGTTTCATATCTTTGAGCCCTCTTGCTGTAGAGTTTGGGAAATACCATGTTTAAGCTTTGTGGAACCTGCTACCTGTATATACTTGTACTTATTATCACATCAGTAATAGATTAGCTCCGGCATTCGAGTTGTAAGGATTAAAGCCAAAGTAGTGTATGAGGTTGAAGTGATATGCTTGAATTGAAAATGTCGATAATTCATGTGTGACATGCCTTTTACTGATTTGAGATTAGGATAAATAATGATTTTTTAAATTTTTTTTAGGTTATATCAGCTTATCTTTCTGCTAGATCATGACTGAAAAGGGGTAGTTATCATAGTGAAACATTAAAATGGTAGTATATCATTTTTTTTTTAAAGGTAATCAAATATTATATTAATTAAAGCTTAATACACAGAAAGTGTATCATCAATACAAATCAGAAACGAATATCATGAAATTAGGCAGCCAATCTATATGCCTAGTAGTCGAAGAATTAAAATCAGAAAGGAATATCATGAAATTGGACAGCCCATATATATGCCTAGTAGCCGCAGTATTAAACCAAATATACAATGTCAAATAAAACAACTCTCTAAACTGCTCCGTTGTCCGTGTTTGGTTTTCAAAACAGCGTCCGTTTCTTTCAAAATGGTAGTATATCATGCATGAACTCTATTAAAAATCTAACATTTCTTCCTGCTCTTTACCTTATATGTGTTTCAAAAGCTTGCTAAGAATCAACAGCCCTGCTTCTCCTAAAAATATTAATTATATCCTTCTTTTGGTTCAGCCTAAATCATAACCATAACCTAAACAGTCACCACAAATCCAAACTACTATGAGCATGTTTGGCTAAGCTTAAAAGCTTTACTTATTTTAAAACAAATAATTTTTCTACTTATCAAAATTGGAGATAAATAAGTTATTTATTTTTACATTAAAGCAAGATTTACTTTGATGATTAGTACTTTTTTATATGTATGTCATGTGTGTGTGGACACACTATAAAACATCATTTGTGTAATAAAGCAATTTTCCTTTTTAGGTAATTGTGATAGATGAATGATGCACTCAAAAGCCATTGTCCAAAAATTTATCTTGTAATTTCTGATGAAAATATATTATGTGGGTCTTGCATAAAGGAAATGGAGTGGTTTGATGGAAGTTGTAAGCTGTTTCTTGGGTAGAGTTGTTGCTTACCTTTGGCATTTACGGTAGAACCTGTTGGACCTGAGCAGCAGTACTTTACTCTATGACATTGTCCACGTCCGCAATCCACTTGTTACCAAATTATAATCTTAGTGGATAGATATAGCAGTATTTCATTATAATGAAATGCAAAGTGGTCTGAACCTCATCCAGACAGCCTAAGAAAAGTGTGGAACAAGTCTAGAACGTGTAGATGTCTGATGCTTATTTTTCACTGCGTTCTTCATTCTCATGCATAAGCCTGAAGGATGAAATGAAAGCCATCCTATCAACTGACACAAGTTAAATTAGTTGTGAAAAGTTTTAATTATCTCTTAGTCCGAATTCAAACGATGCATAATCACGCATCACTAAATAGTCTTGTAGTTCTTGTTCCCCTACACACCAGAATTTAGTGAAGCAAAAACTCTGTTGAAAATAAACGATAGTCATCGATTTCTTGAAGTAGCAAACTTGCAATGCATCGAAAGACGCACATATTTTTTTCCGCCAGTTTTCATGAACACGTTTAATAAGGACATTGGATCACTGGCTGAAAGAATTCAAAGAAAGGAGAGAAAAATCTTTATAAGATTACAGAACAGAAGCAATTGCATGGGGGCATATTGGGATGCCCTGCTGTCAAATTTCTTGTGTATATTCTCTACTATTAATTCTATTTTTTTGTCTGATGTATGGCAATTGATTAATTTGTTTCTTTGATCACCAAAAATGCATTATTTTAGTTAAATAGGTACTTCATTTCCATGCATAGGAAGTATATTCATATTGAAATGTTTTTATTACATGGTCAAAATCTTCTTTATTTGGTTTACATCAAAAGCTATATTCTAATGATCTTATTTGCACAAACAATGAGAATTTCTGATGAGATTCAGTGAAATGTTGAAATTTTCTTTGACATTTTTGTGCACGCACGTTAGATTTATGATAAAAATATAATGTTGGGATGATATCCCTCATTCCTTGGTGATCTTTTCATCCTCTCCAAGTTTCAGAGCTACGACTTATAATCTTTCCTTTCTGTCTTGTGTATGATATAATGATGTATGGTTTATGTTGGTTTCAGAGAACGGAATACACAATTAATGAGGGAAGCCATACATACCCGCTATATGTTTCTCCCTTATTTCTACACACTATTTAGAGAGGCAAACATGAGCGGCGTTCCTGTTGTGCGTCCACTATGGATGGAGTTTCCAGATGATGAACAAACTTTCAGCAATGATGAGGCATTCATGGTTGGTAACAGTCTCTTGGTGCAAGGAATATATACTGAGGTGATGTTCTTACCAGACTTGTAATTATTTTATCCTTGGTATCATTGTTTGCTTCCTTCTATAGTCTCTAATCTTCTTTCTGTTACCATGAAACAATTCAATCGGAAACTTCTCATAGAAAGCTAAGCATGTATCCGTATATCTTCCTGGAGATCAATCATGGTACGATGTTAGAACCGGAGCTGCATACAAGGGAGGAGTGACTCACAAGTTGGAAGCTTCTGAAGATAGTGTTCCTGCTTTCCAGCGGGCTGGTACAATTTTACCAAGGAAAGACAGGTTTCGTCGGAGCTCCACACAAATGGAGAACGATCCTTATACTCTGGTATGCCTTTGAATCTTTAAGTAGATCTGTCGTGAATTCTTATGGTTACACCTCTTCCTTCTCTTTCTCTCTCTCTCTTTCTCACACACACACGCACAAGTGCACATGCTAAGGTGCTTATCTATATCAAGAGAGATCCATCTATGAATTGATCTATTGACTACACTACACCTTTTTCTGCAAGTAAAAGACATTGTGGAAATTCTCTTAATCTTTGACTAATCTTCATATTACTGACATATACATTGGTTGATATATTTTCTCTGTTAAGCATATAGTTTTTTCTTAATTTGCCCACGGGTACTATTTTTACACTAGTGTAGCCACTATTCTTGCTTGTATTGGACTTCAATCTACATTGGCTGTCAAAAGTCAATGGTAATAAGCTCACAAGATTACTCTTCTGACTACAGAATTATAAATTCGTTTGCAGATGATCTTCCTCAAGTCAATACAAACACTGGAGTTTGTCATGTCCCAATTTTGAGCATTTATATTTGATTTTGACACCTTACAAATATTATAGAATTCAACTTAATTCAATAGTACTGTCTCATATTTGTCTGGGGTCAGCATAAAAGAAAATTATCAAGCCAATTTATACATTCTCTGCGGCTATCTTCAATCTCCAATCAATATTATCACTATTTCCATTCCTATCACCCCCAAAACTTGCAATCCTCACCTACATAAGAACTCAATTAGTCGCAAAAAGGATTTCCCAATATTCACACTTTTTTCTTTGATGAAAGAATGGTTTTTTGTTGCTACTAATGTGACATCTGCAAAAGGAATGGTTTTTAATTGCCACTAATGTCATTTTTAGATTCCCTTTGTCACGTGAAAATGCTGGATGCCTGATACTGCTTAACCTGATGTAATGACACTCTATCTCAGTGGAGTCTTCTTGTGGGGGATGAAACTTAGCTGCTGCCTATGCCATGTCCTCTTGAGACTACTGTTGTTATTTTGAAGGTCTTTGGAGAATAAAAAGCATCAATAGAACTTTTTTTTTTGAAGTTTAGATTATGCAATGATATCAGCAAACAATGAGGAATTTGTTCGATAAATTTGAAAATACTTTCATTTCTTTGGGTTGAGGGACTGTGGATATCACTTTCATTTTATAGCTTTCAATGATTGCGAAAAGAGGAGCAAATTCACTTTGCTCAGCCCTCAACGATTTATTGATACACCATGAGTAACCTTAACATTGAAATGCACTTTAATGATTCAAGTTTCTGTTCGTTATAGGTTATTGCTCTCAACAGTTCCCAGGTAGCTGAAGGGTGGCTTTATGTTGACGACGGGAAGAGCTTTGAATTCCAGCAAGGAGCTTATATTCATCGCCATTTCATGTACTCTGATGGAAAGCTTTCATCATCTTCAAACGTGGCCTCTACAGGTTCTGGCAGTAAGAAATTTGCCTCAGAGTGCGTGGTGGAGAGAATAATACTTTTAGGTTTTTCTCCTGGAACGAGAAATGCCTTAATTGAACCAGCTAGCGAAAAGGTGGATATTGAACCGGGGCCCCTCCTGCTTCGAGGAGGACGGGGCTCATCTGTTCTCACTATCCGCAAGCCTAATGTGCGGGTAACAGATGATTGGACAATTAAAATTTTCTAAGATACTTCTTAGTCCAACATAGTCATTTGCATCGGGTGGAAGAACCTTGTTAGTATCATGCTATTAATTTGACGAATGACAATTTTGGCAGCACATTAAGTGATTTAGGATCTTAAACATTCTGGAGGAATACAGATACCATTTGACAATATTTAGTAGCCAATGTAATTTCTGTATGCTACAACTTATTCCTTATTTCCTATTTGCAGTTTTTGATTTTTGTGTTGGGTTGCAGTTCTTGGTCCTTGGTGCTGGAAAATTGATTCAGGGTCACTAAATTTGTAGCGAGTGTGCAAATTGAGTTTAATTGTCATCGAGGAACTAAAATCATTTAGATAGCTTCATTCCAGGCTATATATTGTTATAGCTTGATAGGATACAATTCTCCTTTAAAACTGACTTATAAAGGGAGGAGTGTTAAAGTGATTATAAGCCCACAAGCTGATTATATGGGACACAATTAGATCAACCCTCTTAAAAACTGATCCACTGCGGTCTATACTGCTTTAACTAGTTGATTTTATGAACCAATTAGACAACCCTTTTCATGTTGTTCTGTTTGCAGTGAGAATCATCCCATCGAGGGTGTCTAGGGAGAAAAAATAGGGTCCGTTTGATTGCAAAGTTGGAAAATAGGTGGAAAGAAAATGAATTAAAGGAAATTGAATTGTCTAGAAATTATTTTTGCTAGGAATTGTAATTAATTGTGTTTGATTGGTTTCCACTTGGAAAATGTTGAAAGTTTGGTGTCTGTTTGATTTTGTATTTCATGAAAATTGTTCATTAAAATGATAATTTTTTCTATCATTGGGTCTAGAATTTGTTCCAATTGTCATAAAATTAAAAAAAGATTACAATTTTTTTTTACTGTATCGAATATCATTTGTTTAGCTTTGTTTTGCATGGAAATTGTATCTAGAATTTTTTTCTAATTGTCAAAAAAAATAAAATAATAATAATCCTGATACTAGGAAGTAATGCTTAAGAAAGACAGGAAAAGTATTATAGGAATAGATAAACTGATTACTTTGTGTTAATTGTATTTGCTTTGTGGTTAGTGGGCTGAGGAAGAAAAGAGTGGCTTTGAAGGAATGTCAGAGAAAAACAAATCACACAAGAGATATCCACCAGTCTTTCTTTTCCTGTATCTGGTTGTTGCATTTTATTAAGCCCCGAGACTGAGGGATGATAGGTTATACACCAATTAATGGCTCTTATCATTATTTAGACTCTCTTTAGAGGCTGAAAACTGTTGTAAAGATTTGAATTTATACTACTATATTCTGTGTGTGTGTTATTTTGTGTACTTTGTGCAAAATTGAACAGTGGGTGGTTAAAGGAATAACCTTTGTTTATAAAATATGAACTTATTGATACACCATTGACCCTGTGTGTGTGTGTGTGTGGCCAAAGTTGAAAAAGGATTCGGATTTTATTTTAGTTCACTTTGTGGTGTTGTACTATCTTGTGCCAATGATATTGGTTCTCTAGTCGTTTTCTTTTTATTTTGTTAAGGATCCGTTTGATTGTAAGAATGAAATTTGGGTGGAAAGAAAATGAATTTCAGGAAATTGAATTGTCTAGAATTTGTTTTATTGAAAATTGTCAATTAATTATATTCGATTGATACAATTTTTCACCTAAAAAATATTGAAATTTTAGATCTTTTGATGTTCGTTTGACTTTGTATTTCATGGAAATTGTCTATTAAATAGATAGAATTTGTTATAATTGAGGATATAATTTATTTCTATTGTCAAAAAAAAAAAAAAAGTTGCCCAGAAAACTTTTTCCGCAAAAATAAAGAAAATGTGACCATGTGGGTGAAATATGGAAAACTAATTCCATGGAAAATTTGGACAATCAAACATGTAAAAATGTGAAAAATGGAATTTAATTTTAATTTCCATGAAATTGAAATGGCCTAATAGATTTCTCTCTCGTTTCCACTACATGCTTGAGTCTTTTAATTATTTATAGTCTATTATAGCCGATCTTGAATATGCATTAATGTATCGCACAGAACTAACAGCAATCACTGAATAATCATAGTCGAGCCTTTAATCTCATCCAGTCTCTTTGGTTGACAATGATAAGGCCCTGTTTGGGAGGGATTAAATTTTTCTACAATAAATCAATTCTCATTTTCAACCACACATTCTTCAATAAAATAATATTTTCCATCACATCAATAATTTTTTCTTCTTTTTCAACCACACATTTCCCATCATATCACTATTCAAAATCAATTCTTCCCCNTTTCTTCTTTTTTAACCACACATTTCCCATCATATCACTATTTAAAATCAATTTTTTCCCCAAAAATCTCTCACAAACAAGCTCTAAATGTATGGGAACAGTTCATTTAAAACTCAAAGTTTCATAGGTTGGGGAAATATCATAACTTGATCTGGTTATGTTTCTACGTCGTTGAAAGTTGGTACCTCTGGTGGCAGGTATAATTGGGTACAGCCAAGTGAAAGAACTACCGCTGAAAGTGGGTTTCTGGGGTTTGACCAAGTAATTGAGTGGTGGGTAATTCATGCAGCATAACCTAAATATTCCTTAGAAATTTTAGGCCATCAGCTATTAACCTGCCCACACGCACAATTAGATTGTGAACTTCCAAGTCAACAACTGAATGATGACAATTGGTTAAATCATGCGAGAAGATACAGTCCTAAGGTACTATCAGAATCCATGTGGACCTTCCTCAGTTCTTAAAGGTGACAACTTGTTGCAAATTCGGACCAAGAATCATTGGTTAATATGAAAACAATCAAATACTTTCTCCTTATAAAACTAGAACCATGTGAATTAAGGATGTCATCTAGTATTTTCGAGTCCAATACTGTTTAGTGTTGTTTACAAATATGCACACTGATGTTAATTTATGCTTCCATTTTGACTGTACTTCATAAAATGTATAAAGATTCATTAATAATTAAAGGAATGACTAGAAGCATCAATTCTCTTTCAATAAGGATGGATGGGAGGCTTAGAGCATCCTCAAGGGACTCTCTAATTTTAAAGAGCATGTTCTATAATTTGGAGAGCATTTATAAATTTAAAGAGTTAAAATTTTGAAGTACTCCAACAAACTCTTTATATTTAACACTTAATTTTACTACTCTCAAAAAATATTAATTATTTTTCTCTATCTTTTATTTTTTTTGAAAATTTAAACACTTTGAATGCATTTAATTATAGAAAGTAAGTTTGAAGAGCCAAACCCACTCTCTACATTAAAATGTTAATTTAAAGAGTCTCTTGAAACATGATTTTAAATGTTGACTCTTTAAAAAAAGAGAGCATCTCATGTAGAGTCTCTTGGAGATGCTCTTACATATCTAAATGCAGTACAAATGTATACTTTACTTTAAGACACAATAAGATTTTATAACTTTTAAGCATTGGTTTAAAGCCAATTTTCTCTCTATATAAGCCTCGGGAGAACACTGAAAGAGAGTGCAGCAGTTGCTTCTTAATCCCATCTGATCATATTGTATCAAATAACACCCTTTCTGTACATAATTTCATTCCTCGGATATTGAGGGAGAGAGGGAAAAAACCCACTAATAATTCAGGTATATTTCAGTCCTTTCCAGTTTTTCTTTTAATGTAACTCGTAATGTGGACTTTTCAACACAAACGCCCCAAACACATTTGACTCATGCATGTGTTCAAAGGCCAAATCTTCTGTATTGAAAATGACGTCTGTCCACTGCAAGTTAGTTACTATGCTCAGTAGGGAAAAGTAGTATGCATGTTACATCTCAGTTAGTTCTCGACCTGCACATTGGGGGGTGGATCTGAGTGTGGGGTGTGTGAGCGTTGACATTGATAAATGTTCTTCATTGTTGTGATTGAATGCTTGAAGATTTGTTTAGTACAAATGACCCGTCCTTTTCTATTGGGACCTTGTTTCACGCCCCTCTCTATTTTCAATTGCTCGAAATTTGTCGAAAACTGTTATAAATACCACCCTCAATCCTTTACCCTATGCATCTTAAATTTAGCCATTGCAATCCTGTTTAGGAGTAGCATTTATGGTCTAGAAATAGTCGGTAACAAGTCTTCTGATATATACTCTCTTGTGGTATTTTGTAATGATAAAACTATTCTTCAATATATTGTTCTTGCAAGTTCTTTCCACATAGTTTTAGTGTTATTGCTGTAAAAAAATATTCAGCAGCAAGGATTTACAAAACTCGAATTCATTGACTGATAGAAGTGTGTACTTTTGGCTTCTTTCAAAATACAAGATGGGAGAGAGTGCAGCCACCAATAACCACCACCAGCACGACCAAGTATTTAACATTTCTGTCGACGTGCCACCACATTTAAGCTCCAAGTGTATTGATGATGATGGTCGACCCCAAAGAACCGGTACATATCCCACAACATCTTATCCACCCCCCAATAAGTGATCAAAGACTACCGCTATTTAACTCTCCTAATGTTTATTTATCTCTTTGTAGGGACTGTTTGGACTGCCAGCGCACACATAATAACTGCGGTTATTGGATCCGGAGTGCTTTCTTTGGCATGGGCTATAGCACAGTTGGGATGGATTGCTGGTCCAACAGTGATGTTCTTATTCGCCTTTGTGATTTATTACACCTCAACTCTCCTGGCTGATTGTTACCGGTCCGGAGATCCCCTATTTGGCAAGAGAAACTATACTTACATGGATGCTGTTCGATCCAATCTTGGTACACTACTATACCTAGAAAATTCATCAGTGTGAAATGAATAGTTCTCCTAAAAGTTTGTTCACTTTTCTTTATTAGGCGGTTCTAAAGTAAAGTTATGTGGCCTAATTCAGTATATGAATATCTTTGGAGTGGCCATCGGATATACGATTGCAGCATCTATAAGTATGATGTAAGTATAATTCTTGAAAGAAATTCTATGTTTAATCTCTTGTAGCCATTGAATATAATTTGGTAAGGCTATTGCAATGAACAGGGCTATCAAAAGATCCAATTGCTTTCATGAAAGTGGAAGAAAAAATCCATGTCACATGTCAAGTAACCCATATATGATAGGATTTGGGATAACACAAATCCTATTTTCTCAAATTCCTGATTTTGATCAAATATGGTGGCTCTCAATTGTTGCTGCTGTCATGTCCTTCACGTATTCTTCGATCGGATTAGGCCTCGGAGTTGCGAAAGTTGCAGGTCCCTATTGTTCAATTTTGCATAACTCAGTGATTCTAAAAGTTCTTTGATCAATTACTAAACATGGTTATATTAATTTTCTACTACAGCTAATGGAACCATAGGAGGTAGTTTCACTGGAATAAGCATTGGAACTGTGACTCAAACACAAAAAATATGGAGGAGTTTCCAAGCTCTGGGGAACATTGCTTTTGCATACTCATTTTCAATCATCCTCATTGAAATTCAGGTATATATTCGAAAACATTCAGGGTATGTTTAATACTGTCAAATACCGTACGGTCAAATTCACAAGATGAGCACTCACTTTCTTCGTCTTATAATAAACAGGACACAGTCAAGTCCCCACCATCAGAGGCAAAAACAATGAAGAAAGCCACACTCATAAGCACTTCTGTAACAACACTCTTCTACATGCTGTGTGGCTGCATGGGCTATGCAGCATTCGGAGACCTTTCCCCCGGTAACCTCCTAACCGGATTTGGTTTCTACAAACCATACTGGCTTCTCGACATAGCAAACGCAGCCATTGTAATCCATTTAGTCGGAGCCTACCAAGTTTACTGCCAGCCACTTTTCGCCTTCACCGAAAAGTATGCAGCAGAAAAATGGCCAGAAAACAAACTCATAGCCAAAGATATCAGAATCCCAGTTCCATTTTTCCAACCTTATAGTCTAAACCTCTTTCGATTAGCCTGGAGAAGTGGATTCGTAATTTTAACTACTGTTATATCAATGCTTTTGCCTTTCTTCAATGATGTTGTGGGAATTCTTGGAGCATTTGGATTCTGGCCATTGACCGTGTATTTCCCAATAGAAATGTATATTGCACAGAAGAAGATAGAGAAATGGAGTTCAAAATGGATTTGCCTGCAAATGCTGAGTATTGCTTGTTTAATGATTTCAGTTGCTGCAGCAGCTGGTTCCATTGCTGGTGTGGTGCTTGATCTTAAGGTTTACAGGCCATTCAAGACTAGCTACTGAGTTGTTGGGATTATTAATATGTGATTTGATGGTGTTATGTATTTTTGTTTTGAATTTGTCTGCAAATAATTAGTAGCCTCATAACTGTAAAAATGGCAATGAATTTCACCTTTCTTCATTCCGTATGTATGTCTTGCTTTTCAAAGCTCTACTCGAAAGTGTATAAATACAGTTTCAAATACATTAAGATCACTAGATGGCTAAAGTGTGGAATGTAAAAACAAGCAGTTTTTGTCCAGTAAGGATCCACATAAATTAAAGATCAAAAGTTGGGGTCGTGGGTGCCAGGATAATTTAATTCAATGTCAAATGTTTAATTTGTCAAAAGTTGAGGACTTTCCTTGTCAATTTGCGAGAAACCTATGATCAAATTTGATTAAATCCACAAATGACCACCCAACTTTATAGTTAGTTTCACTATGACTATGACTATGACTACTTTATTTGATTTCGTTTCACCATGACCATCTAATTTTATAGTTAATGTCACTTAATTTGATTTTATTTCACTATGATCACTCAATTTCATATAATGTTCCACAATGATCACCTAATTTATATAATATTTCATCGTGGTCATCCTATTTCTTTTCACAATTTTCTCTTTAAAAACATTTTTTAAGTTTGTTTTTATTATTCTTTATTTTTTCAAGGAACGTTTTTTTTTGTAAATAAGTTTTTAAGTAAATTTTTATTTTATTTTTCTAATTAACTTTTTTTTAAAAAAATAAGTTTTTACTTTACTTTTTTTTTTAAGTNTATTTTTCTAATTAACTTTTTTTTTAAAAATAAGTTTTTACTTTACTTTTTTTTTTTAAGTAATGTATTTTTTTAAAATAAGTTTTTATTTTAACTTTTTTTAAAAAAAATTGTTATATATATATAATGCAAAGTTATCGTTTTACCATTTTTAAAATTAATTAAAATAGTGAAAAAAAGTTGGATGGTCATGATGACACTAAGTATAAAATTGAGTGATCACGATAACATCAAGTATAAAGTTGGGTGACAATTTGTGAATTTAATCCTTGAAATTAAAATTTTTCTTTTCAAGTAATACTCTAATTACAAGACGAGGAAACACGCGAAATAATATTTTCGGACAGACGCCTCACCAAACCAATTTCTATACCGTTTCAACAACATTAGCATCTACGGAAAGCCACGCAATCCCTCTCTCTATCTTTCTTCACTAATCTTGATTTTGCCGACAATAATTTACAGTTTACACGCATGTGACTAACTACGAAACCAGCAAACGGAACAAATACCATTTAGACTGGTCTTCTGTTTTAATACTATTAAATTTCGTTTTCTTGTTCAGATATAGAAATTTTTGGTGTGCTTTTCAAATGCGCAATTATTTAATCCATGGTCTTTACGAATACGTTAATAAATGGTTCTTGAGTTAGGATTCCAGCAAAAAGAACTTTAATCATTCCTCCAAAAGATTCAGGGTAGGACCAGTAATAAGCATTCAAAGTCCATTAGTCAGGGAATCTTGCTACTACTAGAAAGAAGTCCACAAGAGGAGAAACTATTATGAGGGGTGGAGAGAAGTAGTGAGGAGGGTGTTTATGAATGGTGGTTCAATAAGGAGAATATTGGGATTCAGTAGGACCGGGATTGCAGGGTCCAAGAGCGACATTTGGCTTTTTGGTGCTTGCTATGGAGTTGCTCAAGATGAGGATGATGCTAATTATTCGTGTTCTGATTCAACTCAGAACGACGGATATGCTGCTTTTGTTGATGATTTCTCGTCGCGGATTTTGATCACATACAGGAAAGGTAATTCTGTAGTACTTGGAGTAAACGTGTATATTGATGAATGATAAAGAAAATAATGGGGTTGTATTTGTTTTGGTTAATTTGTAGGGTTTCTGCCTATTGGAGATTTGAAAGTATACTAATGATGTCAACCGGGGTTGCATGATTCGAAGCAGTCAGATGCTTGTTGCTCAGGCATTTGACTCTATCCTCTTCTTTAGCTTTGTCACAAATACTGGCCACATCAGTGTTCATAATAAGTCCATGATGATTTATTTCCATTTGTGCAGGCATTCCTTATTCATAAATTAGGAAGATCGTGGAGGAAATCTCTGCATAAGGTAATTTTCGTTCGTGCAGAATTTGATTAATGTGTATTGAAATTCTGCCATCTCCAGTTTTATGTTCTGTAGATATGTTCGCATCGTCATATTGATGCGATTCTAATTATGCAGCCACTTGATCAAAGTTACATTGAAATATTGCTTCTTTTTGGGGATTCCGAGGACTCACCTTACTCTATCCATAATCTTCTCCAAGCTGGAAAAGCTTATGGCCTTGCTTCAGGATCATGGGTAGGCCCATATGCCATGTGCCGTACCTGGGAAAGTTTGATTCGTAGTAAGAGGGATGGGACTAATTAGTGTGGAGACTTATCCAATATGATGGCTATACACGTGGTTTCTGGTGATGAAGATGGGGAAAGAGGTGGAGCTCCTGATCTTTGTGTTGAGGATGTTTCAAGACACCTCTTTGAGTTTTCGAGAGACCAAGTTGATTTGACTCCTATCCTCTTGTTAGTTCCATTGGTTTTAGGACAGGACAAAATCAACCCGAGGTATATTTTTATATTTCAGAGCAAGCAAGAGCTCTTTTTACTTTGAGTAGTCTATAAGAAGTGGAAGAAGTAGAGGTGCCCAATCAAAATTAACCATAAAAACCCAACCTTCAAATCCGATAAATGTCCAAAATTTGAAATGTGAATTCTTCAAATGTCTATATCACAGCTGAAATTAAATGAAGCTAATAAATAAAGGATTTGAAAATACCATCTACGCACGTGAAGTTCATTTTTACCTTCATAATTTGTCTATGAGTATGACAATTAAAAATATTAAGACTTCAGGATATACCCAGTATGTTTATCCAACTGCGCTAAGGGTGAAAAGACTAGCAAAAGATATATCAAAGCGTAAGAGGCAATTAGCCCATTACTTTATCAGTTTGGCATGACCCATTTTTAACCCACTCCACCTGCTGAAAACCACTCATCCTAATGCATAATCCATACTAGCATGTTTCGTAATGTGTGAAAACATTTTACCCAGTCATGCTGGTGCATGCTTTTACTTTTACCATCAGATATTGATTGCTGGAATTGCTACTCTCTCACAATGATCTTGTATCACAATGGCTTGAGACATTGAGTGAGCGTGTAAGTGATTGCGTGTGTGTATTAAAGCCTTTTGTGAAGTGCAGACATCTTTAAAGAGTGTATCATAGTTCTGGCATGGAAACAAAATGTATAGCCCCCGTATAAAGTCGAGGTATTGTAGATAAATGCATAGTTTGAGGCAAGAAGTAGTTGAAGTGAATCCCACTCATAGATATTAAGAAGAAAGATACAAGGGAAACATATCATGGCCCCATAAATTTAGTAGTTGGATTCTTCCAATAATTGCATGGCTGTGTTGACCATTTCGTGTAGAGGAATTTGGTTCTGGACTTCTGGTACCTTCATCTTTAGTGTCTCTACAAGTGACAAATAAAAAAATAAAAAATTGGAGTTTGAGTAAGGGAGGTATTTGAGAGTCCCAATAGAGAAGATGATTGATTCTTGTCTGAGTAGAGCCGGCTTAGGTTAATTAAATAGAATATTAGATAGGTTTCATAAATGGGGATACTGAGAAAGGTAATAATTGAAGACCATGAAATTAGATCGCCATTTGGGACTGAATCTGGGATGGCGCCAATAAATCTAGAGATATCGGTCAACTAGTATACAAGCGAAGAATATATTCTTCTAGTTCCTTGGTTTTTTGGTAATCACAGCCTGTTTTAGGAAATATGTTACTATTCTCAGTTCACTTTGTGAGAATATATGTGCACGGCATACATTTACTTTGTGCTTGGGGTACATGTATGTTTTACAATACATCCAATATGCATTCAAGGCAACGACAAATATTCCTTAATGTTCTGAATATAATAAAATGTCCACAGGTATCTTACTCTGTTGAGTGCGACATTGACATTTTCGCAAAGCCTTGGTCTATTGGGTGGCAGACCTGGAGCTTCAACATACATAGTTGGTGTGCAAGATGAGAAAGCATTTTATCTTGTTCCACACGAAGTTCAGCAGGTGCATGCAATTCCTCTTGTCGAAACCTCACAGTATAATCTTATAGAAAATAGGTGGTGATTTTTTTTAGTCAAAACTTTCACTTGTTAGTAACCAACATGGCCATACTTCACTATAAGCAAATATATAACGGAATGATAGAGATTATGAAGATGCAAGAGAGGCGTATACCTACGCCAGATTATGTCCTCTCATTCTCATGTTCTCTCCGTGCAATGTGTGTTGCCTTTTTCTAAGGACCAAGTTGGCAGTTTTTGCTGACATTTTGTTCTGGATTTTCTACCATTCATGAAATATAATGTTAGCACGCTTTTGGAGGATAATATTCATTTGTACAACTGTGTCAGGAATAAGGCTTAGTTTGTTTACATTGGAGAACAAGCTGTTGCAACTTTTCATCCCAGTAATATAAAGGTCAAAATCGGTGAAGATCATGTATATTCAATCAGCTATCACAGCCCTTTGGTTCCAAAGTTTATTTTCATTTTGTTCCATTGAACCTATATCCGAAGAGCATGTTTGGGAAGTGTTTATAAATGGTTTTAATTATAAGTAGACAGCAACAAATGGTGAATAAGTGGATAGTACTTGTGGTCCTGAGTGTTTATAAACCGTTTATAAACATGAACCAAAGATAGATTTAATACAGATGGCTGTTTGTGGAAGCCCTTGTATATGATGATGTACGAATATGTTAATTCTTATCATTTGATTGACCAACAGGTTCTTGATATTAAGCTGGACAATGTAGGCGTTGATACTTCATCTTATCATTGCAAGTAAGTTGATGCCTAGACCAAATTTGCTCAGATTCTTCTTTTTCTTTTCCCTTATCCCTTTTCCCTCTCGCCTTTTATTCTGTTCTGGAATGCTTGTTTTGTCCATCTTTCCGATTTAATGTTCTTGGATGTGCTTCTAGTATTGTGCGGCACGTGCCTTTGGATTCGGTCGACCCATCCTCGGTGATTGGATTTTACTGCAAAGACAAAACTGTTAGGTCTAATGTTGTAATGGGCATATTTGTGAACGAAAGTGTTTTAATTGAACACTTGTAAAAAGCCAAGGACTTGGATGCAATTTTGTATAGATGAGTTAAGTTAGGGTTAGAGGTTGAAAACAAGGAATATGCAGTGTCAAAATTTCGCTAACTGCTCGCAAACAGAGACGTTATCGCCCGCCTATCACTTCGCGTCGCTTGAGTGACATCTCTCTAGCTCGAGCGACAGGCTCCCTCGCTAAAGCGACGTATTTATGCAGCTAAACCTAATTCCCGATTTTGAAAAGTTTTACATGGCCCATAACATCTAAGCGTTCCCAACTATAAATACAAATGTCCGAGACAAATTCCAGGTGGTTGCTTTATTGTGCTTTCATTGTATAACACATCCACATCATATTTTGAGAGATCCAAGAGCATAATTATTTGGTGATTCATC